AAAACAGCTGCTCAACATAACTCACCACTAGTTCTTAAAACAGCTAGTCAACATAACTCACCACTAGTTCTTAAATCAGCTAGTCAACATAACTCACCACTAGCTTATTAAAACAGCTAGTCAACATAACTCACCACTAGCTCATTAAAACAGCTAGTCAACATAACTCACCACTAGTTCTTGGGCGATTCTTGTCTAACCAAATAATGAGATATGGCCGTAACTCTTATTGCGGGTTTTTTGCAGCAAAGGGACGCGAACAGTGAACCTCGGATTCACAATTCGAGCATTCTTAGCACTAGGCCACACGAACCTCCAAATCAGCTTAAATCTCCGCTCTACAAAACAGATATAAAAACGTTTTTAAAACAACAGCGAAATAATGTTATCGCTATCGATGTATTTATTTATGCGAACCGAAACAACCTTCTGTCCGATACACAGATTGAGTAGCGTATAGTGAAGTTATAATGTGTTTTTTTTTCTTGGACTTAACTCTTTGATTATCGTATATATATTTTTTTTTATCTAGTTGTTGTTTAGTTGGTCCTCCAGTCTGTCTGCTCTGTCCTATATATTTACCTCGAACTCTATCAACTTACCTATAGCTGTGTTGTCTGTTTTTCTAGCGTATTTAACAGAATAGATTAATTTAGGCAAGGTATTACTTTTCGTTGTATCTGAAGGGAAAAAAAGCTGTAATTTTCTAAAATCCAGACAGGGACTTGACAACAAATGATTCAATGTTTCTCGCTCTATCTACAGTCTGACGTCATACTTCTCAAACCTACAGCTGGTGTTTCTTTACGTGAGCCCCCCCCCCCCCAGTGGCACAGCGGCATGTCTGCGGACTTACAACGCTAGAAACCGGATTTCGATACCCGTTGTGGGCAGAGCACAGATAGCCCATTGTGCTTAATTCCAAACAAATTTTTACGTGATAGAGATGAGTCGGCCCCTAGTGGCGGTAGGAGGAACTAAAAACAGCATTGCAGTATATACACAAAGAAAAATCTATGAACATAAAATAGTTTGTTTTTTATTTTAGGCTCCAAATTTTTCGGCAATCAAAAAAAAAAAAACAACAAAAAACCGATAGCCGATTAGTACTTTCGTACAATACTTATTTAAGAAATAGCTGAAAAACAGAATGAAATACATTAGACATTTAAGTTAGGTCCGGCATGGCCAGATGGTTATGGCGCTCGACTCGCAATTTGAGG